GGAAGGCGGTAAATAACTTGACGTCAGGAAGATGTCTGTGCATGCATTTTGCAGGTATTCAATAAATGCTGGCTGAATTCACAATAATTTCTATGGCAATGCGGTAAGTGAAACGAATGCAGCACGCTGTCCTAAAGAAACTCTAAGAAACGCTCTCAAGCTCTTTCTGGTAAAAGTGAAGGTACTACTTGACTTTCTAGAGTATCCTTCAACCTAGCAACCAGTCCTCTAGCTAACTGTGGGTACTAGGGACACATCTGTGCGTTTGGATGTAGCAGTGGTCAGGGTGTACACAACTGTGTGCAGTCAGGAGAGGGCTAACGCCTGGTCAGTACTCAGACAACACTGGAACACATGGAGCTGTTTAAATCTGCTGGAATCAAAGTTACAACTGGAAGAATCTCATGAGGCGGAAAGTTGAAATAACACGAACTCAGCTGTCATCCTGTCTGGTTTTGAGTATGCGTGCTAACCCAAATGCATGTTGGACACTGTTTTGAGTACCATGATGTAGAGGAATCCTAATTCAGAACATGGCTGCTCTGGTAAAGGATCACATCCAAAGAGCCTCTAGGTCTGTGTGATCCAGCTGGAATACAAATATGCCTTTAATCCCAAGAGACAGAGGCAAGCAGATCTCTGAATTCAAGGTCAGTCTGATGTAGAGCAAATTTCCAGTAAAGAATAGATTAGGTCCAGGCATGATGGCACACGCCTTTAATCTCAGTACTCGGGAGACAGAAGCTTACAGCTGAGTTCCAGTCAGTGCTGTTCAGGCAGGCCAGTTGAATCAATGAGTTGAGAGACAGTGCAGGGGAGTTGAGTTTGTGGTAGTTCAGTTCGTGGAATTCAAGTTTTTACTGGGAGAGTTTCACACAGACAGGACGAAGAGAGAACACTCTAGACACAGGTAAAGAAAGAATGAGCCAGAGAAAGAAAAGGAGCCAGAAGATTAGAATAGATTGCTAGTTAATTGGAGGCCAACCAGAGCAATTCAGAGAGGACAAGAGAGAAGACAGTTTGAATCAGTCAGGTAGGAGAGGAGTTTGAGCCAGAACAGCTGAGTTGAACCAGGCAGCAAGAAGTTCAGAAAGAACTAGAAAGGGTGAGCTTATTCAGCAGTAAGTGTCAGAGGTTGAGAACATTCTAGGCCTAGATTAGATTATATGGAGGCTAGAAGCTTCCAGGACTAGGCCTAGGTTAGCAGAGGCAGTAAGCCTCAGAGACTACAATTGAATCAGCTGAATAAAAGATACATTTACACCATGAAGCATGCTGCCATGGTCCTCCTGGTATGTAATCCCTTTCTCTCTCTCTCCCTCTCTCTGTGTGTTTCTCTGTCTCTCTCTGTATGTGTGACACATCTGAAAAGTTTTCAGTGTCAGAAAGAATGTGACATTTATCTACATTTAAATAGAGAAAATTGGAAAACATGATCTCTTATTTATTATCCAGAGAATTCAACGTTTTTCCCAGCTATAAAGATACCTGGCGATCTAGGTCAGAATCTGAAACATTTCTGCTCTTCAGTGTTTTTTAAGGGATAGCTCATGGGAGAGGGACTGGGAACTACAGGCCAGCACGAGGCAGGTGTGAACTAATTGGTAGCAGGTGTTGAGCATTAGAGGCACTGATGCAGCCTTTCTGCTCGCCACAGGGCCTGGCGTCCAGCCACGGGCAACCTTCGAATACCTAGATGTGGCTTGCACAGACCACAAGTTCCACGGCCCTGCATTACGATAGCGAGCACTGGACCTCTGTGAAGCGATGGTCTCTCACCAGATTGAGCTACTTACACACCTCGATTCTCAGAATCTTCAGGGGTCACCCTCCCACCAAGAAGACTTAACAGACACCTACTGGCTTAAACACCATGGCAGACAGTTTCCAGGTTAGCTTTAGGGAGATGACCTTAAAAATCACCAAGGAAGAGAAAATACGAACCCCACAGGTGGCATGGTTCAGTGGGCTTTGTAGGCGAGAACAGGGTCCACGTCACCAGAGCATTGCCTTCTGGCACAGGCGGGGGCCCTGGCAGCAGGTAGACTCTTTGCAATGAGAATGGTATCTAACGCCCATCAGGGAGAGCTGAGAGCAGAGGGCCACACGGAGCTGCAGATCACTTGTTTCAGAAGTTGGCTGAGCTTTTTTAAACTAGAGAAGTCTAATTCTATCATCCCCTATCTATCCAAATGCCAGACAGTACAAAATAAAAGAGACAAGATGCACAAAAACGGAAGCACCCATTTGGGGAACCTTTCTGATCCCGTTAACACCGAGTTGACATAGTCACCCAACCCACGCCATTCCACTCACTCTCTATCCCCAGTTGTGGCTTCGGTGGCATTTAAAGGATCAGAGTTTAAAGTAGCAGGTGTCCTCTTACTACAGGGACATTTTCCGTGGCTGCCACAGAGGGAAAGAATTAAGCGCCCCACCCTCTATCTACAAAGGGCAAACGAAATTACCTCAAGGGAAAAAGAGTAACTGATAAGAATGCAAATAAATTGAACAAAGTTAGTAAGCAACACAAATACTACGAATATGTGGAATTTTTATGAATGTAAACGTCACAAACTTCAAATAGCCACAGTGCTAACAATAATCTGTTTACAAATGACTTCTAAGGGGACTAAGAAAGGTATCTGACCAAAACTTACTGCTGCAGGTTAGGAAAAACATTTAGTTTTTGGTGCAGAAAGCTTAACCTGTCTAACTTTTGTTCAGGTACCAGTGATGTTACATTTGACCTAGGAGAACCTTAGTAAGTAACAGCTAAAACTAATGCTATCTCTCATGGTCCCAGAAGCCAGGTGTCCAGAGCACCTCTTCGAAAGGTAAGTGTGAATGTGATGGACCTCAGCAGCAGCTTCCAGGACTTGAATGAGGTGTGTTCCTTCTCTTCCTATGTCTAAGAGAGGGCATGCATCGCTAAAGGAGCACTGTCTTCCATGCTAAGCGGGCAAGTTTGACATCATTACATATTTCTTTAATTTATGTGTACTGTGTGTCTTTTTGAGTTGTGACTTGTATGTGTAGGAGCTGTGAGAGGCAGAAGATGGTGTCAGAACCCAGAACAGGAGTTACAGATGGTTCTAAGTTGCCGTGTGGGTGCTGGGAACCAAACCCAGGTCTTTGGCAAGAGCAGCAAGTGCTCTTTACCACTGAGCCATCTCTCCAGCCCGGAAGATATTTTTTAAATAGAATATATGTGTTTTATCTCTTTAAGGCCAGTATCTTACAAATTTATACAATGTTGCTTCTTTAATACAGTCCCCTGACCATCATCCTTTCTAGGCTGTGGGATAGGAATGATGAATCTGGGGCCCAATCTAGATGCTTCCTGTGCAGTCCCGACTTGTGAAGCATGTTAAGCAGACTAAAAACACTGATTACTTCTGGAATTAGTGCCATCTCTCTCCAGCAGCTAGAAGTTAGGCTAATGCGAGGACAATCTGAACATTAAAATGAGTGACATTAATGCGTGATAACACACTAAAAATAATTCTCCAGTTCATATTTATAAAAAGCAATCAAGCAAATAAGATGAGGAAAAGGAGGCTCTTCCTTATGACAACTTCTCTAAGGAGTCAAAGGTCATAAAAATTGCCAATTTGCACCAATGCTATCACTTCAGGCAACAACTCCTGGGATCATAAACAAATAGGTAAAAGATATTGGGAAATGAGATATTTAAGTAGTTTTACAATACTTCAATACAAATGCTATAGTTCTCTGTAACAAAATTTTGTATTGTAAAATTGTGAGTTACAAGGCACTCACTAGCACCTTGTGTTAGTGAGGAAATGGGACAAACTAAAGCCAAGGGCTCAAAGTAGACAACATTAGCAAGGGCACACTTTGACATCACGTGCCTGCTAGGCTGGTGCATCCACAGGGTGCGTTGCTGTCTGCAAAATATTTCCTGCCAGGCCGGGCATGGTGGCGCACGCCTGTAATCCCAGCACTTGGGGAGGTAGACGGATCTCCATGAGTTTGAGACCATCCTGGTCTACAAAGCAGGTCCGGGACAGCCAAGGCTACATAGAGAAACCCTGGATTGAAAAGCCAAAAACCACACACGCACACATACACACACATCTCCCCCCCCCCCCCCCCCCCCGCCAAAACTCTATCTTGACTCTAATAACAGAAATATAAAACAAGCTCCAGCAAGGGCCACTTAATGAAACAAATGACACAGGCTTTAGAAAAATATTACTGTCAATGGAAAACAAACAACATCACTAAGATTAAAGAAACGTGTCAACTAAGCGTCCTGTGCGAGTGTGGGTGGGCTCACTGGCTAGACTTCAGTGTTGCTGCTGTGCCCGCACGGGGTGGGCACAAGCGAGAGGGGTGTGCACCCTGGGCTGAGCTGGACCCACGCCACAACCCCTGAACGCGGCACTGCATCTCTCCGGGTGATGAAATCGAAGAGTTTCGAAGACGCACGTTTGTAACGTAAACAACTGTGTGAATTACACTGAGGTAAACAGAACGGCGAGGTGGGGTGAGTGTGGCGGTGTGGCGACAAATGGTGAATCACTCGGGGAACCGTGGACTTTCCGTGCAACACTCCTGAGACCCTTCCACGGGCTCTCAGAATGTCAAAATAAAACTTGGAAGAGAAGTGAAAGATGAAGCGCCAAAAGGGCGGCCAATGGTCCCGTCCCCACAGGCTTCCAGCGGAGGAATCTGACCACGAACTGAATCACCCTCTGCTCTGAGTGATCTTGTGACTGAATACAAAAGCCGGCTCCTTCCAGCCGAAGGCCCTACTTAGAAAATGCACCTCCTAATTTCACGTTCAGCCTGCTAAGCCTCGTCCTCAGCCCAGGGCACACAGGGGAGAGCCAGGCTCCCCGACTGGTGGGACTTGCCGTCTGGTGGGAGAAGACAGAAAATAGGGAATAGAAGTCAGGTCGCAATAGCTGCTCTGAAGGAAAGGGAAAGCCGAGGGGAACTTTGGGGAAGCGGTGTTTCCAAAGGGGTGGTTAGTGCTCACTCGCTTCACAAACTAAAACCGGAGCAATACGGAGAAGATGGCACGGCCCTTGTGCAAGAATGACATGAAAATTCACAAAGTGTCCTACATTTTTAAAGGGGAGGGGCTAGAGGCCTCTAGTCAGATCATGAGCAAGTCAAGGAACTCAGCTGGTGGGGAAGGGGGGAGGGAAGCAAAACAGCCCCTGAGCAAAGCCTAAGCAAATGGCTGGAGTCTTCTGGCTCAAACAGTTTGAGGATAAGGTCACACAGCCACTCCCACATCATTACTGAGACACTGTCATTTATTCTGACACCTATTTTACTGTCTCCCACCCTTCCCATCTACCTACTCAGCGCCCCGTTTTCTGGACAGCTGGCACAGTGGTGCCCTGAGAAAGGTCCCAGCCTGCTTTGCGCCACTCAGTTTCCCTCCCCACCTACCAGCTACCTCAGAGATACCTTTACCATACATTCCCACTCCCCATTTCTGACACTTTTTGAACTTTCAACCTCAAAACTGGAAGCTCTAGCTTGTGCTGTATATTTACAGCCTCTAGGGTTTCTTTTCGCAGAAGCAACCTTCCTTCAGGGATGTTACAATTGCACCCACATCTCCATTCTCCTTCCATTCAACTTGCTTTTTTTCTAGCTCCCAATTAAGCTCTGCAGGTAGAGACAGCGTCCTGTTCCCTGTTTATAGTGATGATCTCGGAGCCAGGCACCTAGCAATTCTTTGATATCAAGGGGCTGTTTTTACAACAGGGATTAAAAAAGCCAACTTCTTATTGAATCTGATAGGGGTTGCCGAAATGTTGGCACAGCATGCCTTCCAGGTGCTGTAAACTCTAACCACCCTACTATGGATTCAGGTACAGTGTAGCACATGGTGCCGGTCAAGGAGCAGGGTACTCTGTCAAAACTCCCTCAGATATTAGTCATGGTGTGGGAAGCCACACATCAGATAGGTGTGAGGGACGTCAGACAAAGCCTACGAATAGTGACTTACAACATCATTTGTATAGGAAGAATGAATTTTGAGCATGGCTCATATAATTAACTTATCAATGAACTCTGGCATGCAGCCTTGTCACCTGCAATACTGTGGCTGTGGGTATATTTTGCCCATACATTATTTGTGACAGATTTAGAGTGCCATGGTTGATGTGGGGAAGGGTGGCATATATCTATCTGCTTTATATTTGTTGGACTAAGCATATTACAGATTTAAAGTATTCAGCCATTAGAAAATCAGCAGCATTACCCATGAATAATATTTGAGCTGAAGACTGGATGGTATGCGAAACCAAAGGAGAGAAATATGAGCAGCTTAGTGAGTCCAGGGAGGTCAGAAAGGGTATTGGTGCTGTAAAACTATTAGCCTGTGTATCTCTAGTCTCAGTGGACAGTAAGGGCTCCAATCATAACCTGAATGCACAAAACCTAGTCTACTCACAAAAACTGTTGTGAGGCCAACAGTTACAAATTTACTTGGCAGCTCACAGATTTCTCTATTTAGATGCAGTTTGCACATTTGGAATTTTAGGATCACCACCATTTCTAACATTTTATGGAAAGTGGAAACCTGAAGCTCAAGGAAAAAACTTTCAACACTGTATCCAGATACCAGTATTCGTTACATCCCCTGAACTTGCTGACCTATACGCTACTGGTTCCAGGGAGGAAAATGAGGCAGTGAAAGCAGTAAGGAATTTGAGAGAGGGGGAATGGATGGATGGATGGTTGGAGGGAGAGAAAGAGAGGACACAGCCGCAGCGAACTGGCAGTGAGGGACTTCAGTTCTGTATCTCTAATTTTATTCTCTGGTCGGACATACCCCTCTTAGCACTTTCTGAATTCCCATGCTTATAATCTTAGACCACAGAGAACTAAAATGCTTCCAGGGAAAGGGCTCCACTGTTTATTTCACATCCAACTGCGTCCTGTCTTGGTAATTTTCAGGCAGGGTAATTTTTTTTTTTTTTTAAAGTGCTGTAAAGAACATAAGTGTTTGCTACAGTTGACCAAAGTGTGGCAAAGCCCTGGACCAATCAGGCTCAGTGTCTGCAGCATTCAAAATCATCTGTTACCAAGTTCTAAAGCCATTCCTTGTTTGGGGATGCACAGTAAGTGGGGAGTTGTTCAGTCATCCCATTGACTCTTTCGGGGACTACGTACCACCTACCACGAACTGTGTGAGGTGCCTGGAGCACGGTGGTGAACATAAAAACAGGGCCATGTTCTCAAGGAGCTTGTATTCAAGAGGGACTGAGTATTAATTAAGTTAATATCTGCCAAGTCAATACAAGGTAAGGGAATCTGAGTTAGTTACTAGAACACAAGCTTCCATTTTTCTTGTTTTAAAATGATGTTGTTGTTGATACTGTTATTGTGTATGCATTCCCCTGGGCTCCCCATGATGGATACATGGAAGTTAAAAAGCTTTCAGGGGTTGCTTCTCTTTCCACCAGGGCTCTTGGGGATCAGGCTCAGGCTGTAGGGACCATACAGCAAGTGCCTTTACCTGAAGAGCTATCCTACCAGTTTTGGGGTAAAAACTCAAGATGAGACTTTTTTTTTTTTTAACTTCAAACCATTTATTGAGAATTTAGCAACAGAAGGTTGGAAAATGCACTGACATATCTTGTTCATTTCAGGATGAAGTGCAGTATGGCTGATCACTTCCTGTTTGTTAACGTTTCCCATTTAGATGTCAAGAAGTATCTGTGAACCCTAGAGATGTCACAGGCTAAAGAAACCCTTCTACCCAGGGCCCACTTGATGAGCCTGTGAGCTCACTGGTACTTACAGGAGCACAGGTGACTCAAAGGCAAAGTCCTCCCAAGCCTGGCTGAGGACTCATGCAAACCATGCCCCAGCTCCACTGAGGTCTCTCTCAGCAATTGTTTCCTGCTCCTAGGGCACTGAGGAAGACTCTTGTGGGTGTGAAAACCCCGAGATTCCTAAATGTTGAAAGTTTCCTTCCTAAGTCTTAAGGGTCTTCATCCCCCCTCAAGGGATGTTTCGATTTATGGGAAATCAGTAAAAGAACACTGCTTTTCACCTTGACCTTAGGCTTGCAACTGCCCTTTGGAACCTTTACTCTTTATACTTCTTGCCTACTAGGAACTTCCACGGGGTAGGGCCCGCGCCTCTTTCTCTCTCCCTCATGTCTGAGACCATCTATTTGGTCATTGTAGCACTAACTGTGATGGGCACCATGGCAGCCGCCTTTGGATGTTTTTCTGTTCTGTTTCGTTTTGGTGGTGCCGATGTCTTGGGTCACCCTCGCTCCTGTGAGTAACCCCACTGAGACTCCGAGATCACTAAGTTGGACTCTGGTGGGACCGGGACTTTGCTCCATCGCGGGATTCCTTCTATGAGGTAGATAGACATCTGTGTGTCCTGTCTCCCCTGGAAAAGTCTCTCACACAACAGGTCACCTCTACCACACAGAGACCCTTCGTAGGTCCCTGAGCTGCATATAATGTCAGGGTTTTAGAATGGGGAGCTACTAACTAGTCAGCGGTAACTCAGACAAAGGTATACTTTCCTAAGGGGTATGTCCAAGCCTATGTAACACATATGTTACATATGTAAGAGAGGACGTGCAACCCATACACCCACGCCCATCACACACCTGTCCCCACCTCCCTCTCAAGGGTTGGGTCATTTTTCTAAACACTTTAAATATGCAACACAATCCTGACTCTTTCAAACTCTCCCATACTGGGCTCATCTTGATATCTGCCTGCTCTAGTGCAGTGGTTCTCAACCTTCCTAACGCTGTGACCCTTTAATAGAGTTTCTCACGTCGTGGTGACCCCCCCCAACCATGAGATTATTTCATTGCGACTTCGTAACCGTAATTTTGCCACTGTTATGAATCATAATGTAAACATATGGTACACAACCCCCAAAGGGGTCGAGACCCACAGGTTGAGAACCATTGCTCTAGAGACTTACAGAAGCTGGTAAAATCATACAGAGGTAAACCTCTCCCCTGACCCCCGCAATCAATGCTGTAAAAATATTTATTTATTTATCTATTTATCTATTTATTTACTTATCTATCTATCTATCTATTTATTTATATTTGGCTCGTTTTCTTTCTTGCTCTTCATCATGTATTTGGCTCCCAGTTGGCTAAATCAGAAAACCTGCTGCTTGGTCTGCATTGCTTCCAGTCATTTCTACCAACACCCTCCTTTGCTGCTTTCATTCCTTTGGCAAAATCCCCCTATATGAGCGTGAAGCATGTCAACTTTCCGGCAAAGCAAGATCCTTTAGTATAAACGCATGCGAATTCCGAGCCACAGTTTTATAGCAAGCATTGTGCCATATATATGTACATGGCGACTCTCTCCATCCACCTACCCTGTACCAGCATTAAGCACCTCACTATTCGAGCCAATTAAGCAACAAAGCAAAAAAAAAAATCTCAATGGCCTTTAATAATAAATAAATAAATAAATAAATAAATAAATAAATAAACTCCTGACTCTGTATTACACATTCTATCAAGACTCTTAATTAACAAGAAGGATGGATGCCATACAAGGACCACTCACTGTTTGCCAGATAGGTGCTAACAAGGGTTTTAGAAAATTGTATCCTCTTTTAATCTCCACAGAACTCCTATGAGCTCATTTGTATTTTAGCTCCACCCCTCCTCCTTTTCGGATGAATAAACTGAACCACAGAATTAAGTTAACTTTCCCATGGTCAGAGTGTTGGTGGGACTCCAATTCACATTATTAACAGCTTCAGAGGTCATAGGCTTAAGAACTATACCATGTAAAAGAAAAGAAGATGACCGAAAATTATATCAAATTCCTCACTACCACCTTCCACTTCTCCACCACCATCAATATCATCACATTTGTATAGCGTTCTTACATAAACCATTGCACTGAAAACATGAATTTAAAATTAATTTCTTGCCACAACCCCGCCGAGTAAGTGTGACTATCATTCACAGTTTGCAGGAGAAACTGAGAAGAGGTCAAATGCCTGTTCAAGGTCACAGTACTAAGAAGAGGCACATAGGGATGCAATCCAGACAACCTGGTCCTCATGTCCACAAGCCCCAACGCCAAGCCACTGCTCACAGTAA